CCCCCCACACCCAAGAATCGTAGGGTGCATCCCTCCGCGGCCGAAGGGGACACCCTGCCCCCCCGCTGTGCGCCAGGAGAAGGGCTCTGGGGTCTGCCGGAGACAGCGGCGCTGTTGTCTGCCAAGGTCACGTCGGCGTTTGCCTTCGGGCTGTCAGGGGGGTGTTCAGCTAGCCTGAACGGTCAGGAAGCATTAACGGGCCCCCCACACCCAAGAATCGTAGGGTAACTTTCACAGCATGGGATTCTTTTAATTTGCTTTGGAGTGAACTCTCCCATGTGGTTCTGCAGTGCCATCAGGGCCAGAAACTCTTTTTTTCCCATTGATTTCTAGCTAATTAACTCATCTCCAGCACCTGGGAGAGAGACACCCCTATTGTCACCCGATCCGTGATTAAGTTTTAAGAGTTTTCCAAACTAAGTAAGAAGCCATTACAAATTTGAGAGGAAAAATAAGGCTGGTATCCTCCCACTAACAATCCTGGAGCCAGAGAAAATGTTTTCCTCCCATGCTGCATGGTCTCATTCTCCTTTACTTTCCAGCCTCAGCAGCCATTCACATCTTGAAAGCACTGCCAGCAGTCCACGTGGAATAAATAAGGGCATTAACTCCAAGCCCAGCCTCAGTTCCTCACTAACTCCTGGGCTTGGGAGGTCACTGACATTCGTCACAATGTAAAATCCACCCCAAGTTTCTCCCGAGTCCTCTCCCCAAAGCTGGTGCTCACACAAGGCAGGATTCCCCGAGTAGGGAATTTTGAAGCAAAACCTTAGACATGGCAGGTGCTTACTCAGCACCTCCCTCTGTTTGTTCCCCGATCTCCTCCTCTTGCAGCATCAGCTCTGTTCCCTGTAAGTTTTGTTCCCTCTGAGGATGGAAGGCATGGCACAAATGTTAAACTTAAAGCAGTAAACTGCTCCACATCTACACACCCGACTCATCTCAAAGGCCTTCAGCAACCCTGTACACGCTACTCCCAAAACCCACTGTCTTGTCCAGGAAAAAGGTGAGCTCAGTTCTCCACCTCTCAAAACCAGCTGCGCAAAGGGATTTTTCTGAACTGCTGAGGGGAGAGGGAAGGAGCATGCAGGGGCTATGGAAGAGCAGCTCGCTCCGCCGGGCCCGTCGGCTGGAGGCTTCAATTCTGCCGGACGCTCAGTAAGAGGGGGATCACTCGCACAACCCGCCACAGCCCCAGGACAGCGTGCGCTGGGACAGCTGGCACCGGGATCGCCGCTGCCTGTCCTGCCCTCCGCTCCCCGCCGGGCAACAAAGCGGGACATCTGGCCAGTAGCCCGCTTTAATTACCTATTTAGAGTCAGGCTGAGTATTTATGCTGTCATTAAACAGCCTTGGCAATAAGCAACCAAACAACTCTAACACTTGGTTTCCTGACAAAAGGCTGAAATAGCAGAAACTTTTGCTTCAAATTAAATGCACTTCAATAGCAATTAATTGTAGGCTTTAAAAACGTATTGAGATAATTAACAAAGGCAGAGGGAAAAGTAAAGAAACAGTCAAGGCGTGCATAAACACATACCCATATCGTATACCTTCAGGAAAAAATGATTGTATGCAGGCTAATTTTCCACGATCCCTCAAGCAACAAGGCAACACACATAAAAATAGCATTTGCTGGGTACAGACATCTTTCCGACTGTCAAGGCAGTGACTACATTATTCAATATCAAGCCAGGTTGCCTAAGTTACACACTCAGCTGTAGGTGTTTTGAATAATGCAGAAGAATATTTGAAGGCATGTGACTGCTAGTTTCAGAAATAAGACCCTTTCCCAGAGAGCTTAGTACCTCCTTTCAAAATCTGATGAGACGAACCAAGTAACAAAAAATGCATTTAAAGTAAAATTAAAGTCTCAATCTGAAATACAAAATGAAGAACTAAGGCCCCTTAAGTGTTGTTTTGTTTTATGTAGATCAAAATTAATTACATAGATAAAAATAAATCATAGAAAAAAAAATAATGCATTATTTTTCCCTTGGCATCTCTCTGCCTTGGAAACAAATAAAAAAGTAGATTTTGTATGAAAGAAAAAAACTTTTTGAAAAGGTCACCGTAACAACTGAGCCTGCTCTGGGGCTGAAGAGACTTCGGGCTTGTTACCTATTCCACGGGAAGTTTGTCATTTTTATGGTCATTTTGACAGGTTGTTTGGAATCTGTGGGTTTACTGGTTTATTATTGTATTATTATTTTATAAGCATAACAGGAAATGAGTCCAAATACAATGATTAAAATGTAAAAATACTGTGGATGGATATCTTTTGAAAAGGATGGCACAAGTCAAGCCATCTACATTCTCTGCACACCCGTTCTTACGAACACCCAGCTAAGCTGATTAGCTCGTCCCTTACACGAGACTCAGTTTTAGTGTGGGTCTGGAAAGAATTTTTTTTCCATCTCAGTGAACTAACATCAGCTGGCTTAGTACATCGCAGGGGAGTAGCAGCAGAGAGGAAGAACCTTTTTTGACTCTGGAACATCCACGTGCTATTCCATCAGACAGCCAAGGCACCCACCCGTGTCCAATTCAAGCACCAGACCCAGGAGTTGTTCTGGTATTGCTCTGACTGCGGGGAGAAGTGCGATTTCTGCAGCAGCTTGGGGCAGATGTCTGCTTTAAGTTCCCTCTCAAGCATCTGCTTGGGACTGAATGCCTCTCAAGCACAATCAAAACCAGCGATTTAATGCACTGTATTTTGCATCTACAGAGCACTTCTTATCCTAGGCGATCGCCAGAAAGCTGCAGCCTCAAACCATTCAATTCATCACACAAAGGGTTCAGATGCCCCGGCATAAACTGACAGTACAAGAGTAATAGCTGCCTAACCGAGCTCTGATTTAGCAGAGCTAGCGTGCATATGTTATTCATTAGCATCAATCAAAATTTCATGAGAAAATTGAAGATCACCCCAGTGATCTTTCAGGGCCATATTCACGTGTTGCGAGAGCTACACAAAACTGTGGCTAATCAGCAAGGAAAGCTGTGTGCTTCTCACACGTGATGATGAGGGTCTAAGCCAGGCACTGATGGGGTAGCACCGAGCATCAGTGAGCTGTAAACACTAGGCACAGAGATCTGGAAGGAATATGGGCATCTGAATATTGCTTTCAATCCACCTGACAGCAAGATGCACAGATGTTAGCACAGACACAGAGATCAGCGTGCCACTGAAGCCCAACGCCCAGCCCAACACCGGCACCAGGGAGAGCGGTGTCTTTAAAAGCCACATCAGATTTAAAACAAAAGAATAGAAAGCAAGTAAGCATGCCTTGTATCTTGGCAGCTCAGGAATCCCTCATCAAGCACTATGTCCATCATCTCAATTAAAATTCCTAGGGTAATGGCTTCATACTTCAAAGTTTCCTCTTACACGCTTTCTGGAGCATCATTAAACTTACAATACCTGATTTTTGTTTGTCACCCGCGTAACTGTTATTGCAGCGTCCTCCTCCATTCCAGCTGTATGGTTTTTCAGCTTACAGTACTTTAACCTCTCCAGTTCTGCTTATTGGTTCATGTACTAAAAACTTAGAAATTATTTTTATTACAGAGTCAACTGGCAATCTGTTTCCTTAGATGCAGTTTTGATCTTCCCCTTTCCTACACCCAGCCTTTTCTATTAATACTCAAGAAATCTCTGTAAAGACAAGAAGAACAAAAACCCATTCATTGCTGTCACAGCCTTTCAATAAAGCAGCTTATTGAGCACATAAGAATATGAAGGGTCTCTTCAAAAGGAACAGATTATATAGTTTTCACCTGTCTTTCTCATTCCCAGTTTCCCAGCATCTGTTGGAAGTGCATCACTCTGGGAACAGAGCCTGCAGAGAATTCTCTGTGCAGCATTTCACAGACGGGTGTTTTTTCAGTAAATCTGCTAGGCTGTAGGCACTGAAAGTGTGGTTCTGATGCTCACAAATCTCTGGCAACACACTTACTCATTTGGAAAGTTCTTTCAAATGCAGATACGGCATCCCTCACCACTGCTTACACCATTTGGTTTTTTTCACTTCTTTTACAAACTATACTATATAGATACATTGAGCACTGAACAGTGTGTCCAGTGGTCCCACCATAGTAATGTCCAGTAGTCTCCTCATGGATCCCAATGGACTGCACACGCACAGAACTAAAAGATGGATTCAGTCCCCAAAAGTTTCCACTCATACTGTATGTCCCGAATGCCTTTTTTCCTTAATTGCCCTTCCTCTACCCTGGATGTATTAAAAACAAAATAAACCCAAAAAAACCCAAAACAAACAAACAAACAAACCCCAGAAGAAACAGATTTATTATATAACTTAATGTGATCCTACCATCATCTGAGTATTACTCTGCAAATACACACCCATCCACACAGAGTAAAAAATGCTATTCTGTCAAGGCTTTTTTAAAATATCAACCAGATTGTGCATCCATAGTGAGTTGCTTTACCACACATTTCTTATGGCTCCAAAAGAAACAAAGCTGCACATGCATAAAACGATAAACTTGGTTTCATTATGTGGTTCCTGTGAACATACACATGGCTGTGTAAGAGATGAGCATGTTGGCTCCCACTGAAGTCAGTAAAAGTGGCAGATGGCTCAGCCACCTCTGAAAACAAGAAAATACGGTTGGCAAAAATTCTGCCTGCCTTATTTCTTATGGCCTCTGTTCCAGACAATACCTTGCACCCCCCAGGTGGCATGTTCAGGTATTATTGTTCATACCCTCGCTTTGCAGCCTGCTTCACTGAATTAAATAGCACTTAGAAAACTGCAATGTTATTTGCAGTGCAAGTAATAATTCTGACCCTTAAAAATACGCCGTACCAGCCTGAGCATGCTGAACTCGACAACATAAAGGGGAAAGGACTCAGAAACTATGATCAGACTCAACAAGTGACATAGGAGTACATTCTCTCATTGTGCACTTGTGATACATAAAAATGTCATCACAGAAATACACAGAACATATGACAGTTACCAGGCTCCTACCTAACCGCTTCCTGAAGCTTCCTGTGGTCCAGTTAAATACTGGAAAGAAAAGGCAGCATGCTGAAAGATAGGCAACATGATTGACATGATACTCAAAACAAATTGCATCCAAGGGGAAAATCTGAAACTAGAATTATATGCAGTTTCCACAGATTGATTACTCATAGGAAACAGACATGACGTTTGAGAAACTGTGTAGAGAATATACAAATATAGTAAAAATGTCAACCCAGATCCTCCAGATGAGCATGGAATAAATTGGAAAAGTGGGCATTATAATACACATTAGACTTCATCCAACTCACTCTGTATCTGGGAGGCAGAAGGGGTCACACCGAGACACACAGGTACAGAGGAATAAAAGAAGTTCAAAGGGCAACTGAAGAAAAGCAGGCTAGCAAACTCATAGAGCCAACAAGAGAAATAACATGAGCAGTTTTACAAGAAACTACCTGCAGTATACAGAGGAACTTATAACTCCACCCAAGGCTGAACAAACTGATTACTTACTGGAGTAAATCCGAATGAATTCTACTGACCTCCAACTTCCATCCGACATTTAACAAAGCAGCACAACTGGGTCATTTTAGATTTTGAAGGGAAATTAAAAATAATCAAGAGCCCTCTGACACTCTTAAAAAAGTGCCTGGCGAATACTGAAAATGGTTTTAACATTATAAATGTTTTTTGATAGGTTTCACAACCTTTAACATTTCAAGTATATGAACATTATATAACTTGATTTTTACTTCTAAGAATACCATCCAAAAAGAAAAGGCTAAGCTGTTGTAAAAGATGTTTTACAAAGATATGCTTTAAAAATGCTCATGGAACTTAAATCTGCAAATATAAGTGCTGTTGGATTTTTTCAGAGCATAACTTTTTAAAAAAAGAATATTTGATAGAGAATTATATTTAGAGCATCAAATGGTACCATTTATTCAATCATGGGTGGACAAAGTATAGTAAATCACACAGATGAAGGAAAAAATAGAAATACTCCTAGTAAAAGTAGATATGTTAGCATTAATCTACTGGTTGAAATAAGTTCTTGCAAAATATTTAAGAAAATTCCAATAACTAACACAATTGTAAAAATTAAAAGGCTAAACCATCAGTCAACCGCCACTATGAGTCATTTATTTACTTTTAGTTAAATTGTTTGGAATTAATGGTGTCTTGAGCATCACCAACATTTTCTCAAAATGTTGATGTGCTGCTCCTCTCTGTACGCTCTTTGTTAACTGCCACATACTTCTATTTTTGGAAACTTTAATGAGGGCACACTCATATAAATGGAAGTACATAATATCCCAAATGACCAGAGTGAGGTTTCCTGCTCAATGTCTAATTTATCTCACACCACAGGTTACATGAGACCTCTGATCGTTTTTTTTCTTCTCCCTAATCACTAAAGGGATGCCAATTCCATAAGATTATACCACTCTATCACTTGCTGTAAAATCTTTCTGAAGAAAGATATCAATACCAGTTTTAGACGGTTTATAAACATGGAGTCTAGTACACTAAAATAATGGCTATGAATCAGTAATTCATATTATTCCTGCAAAGGTGAGGAATTACCACACGCAGTAACAAGTCATTAAAAAGACAAATTATATAATAAGTAACAATCTAACAGTCATCTAACAAAGACATTACTATTTTTAAGAAAAGCAGTTAATCTTACACAAGATTAGCATCACTAAAATACGTAATATACCTAGCTTCTATAAATGAATACTGAATTAATTACAACAGCTACATAAAAAATACAAGCAAAAATAACCTATTTCCTGTATTTACACAAATGTAAACAAGAATACAGTTTGCCCCTGACTTCACAATTCAATAATCGATAAAAGAAAAAAAAAAAAAAACAAAGAAGACGGCAGAGCTCTACTGACTGAAAATGTAATCAGAAAATGATTCAAATCGTGCTTTGATGAAGCATGAAGGTGTGAGCTGGAGAAGTCCGTTATTTGTCCATTCTAATTGAAGGACAACAAACAGCACCAAAATCTTTAAACTGGCACATACAATGCAAGAAACATCCTCACTCTTAGTAAATCTGCTGGATTTGCCTGGGGTATTTTCAATAATGATTTATTATTTTAGTCGTCTTTGCCAGCAGAAAAGAATGTTGTTGACATTCCTGTAAGTGTTTAGCCTAAATTAGTACTAAACTGCTCAAGTCTGGTAATTCAATAAACCAAGAGGAGTTTCTCCTTTTTCAAGGAGAAAAACTAATATTCTTTTAAATGTTGCCACTTTCTTAAACTTAACTACCATAAAGATGATGCTTTTATCCCTTGAAGAAACCTAATGAAATCATATTAATTTGCTTTTTCATTGACAAAAGAGGAATCACATAACACTGACCCCACTAGCTGCAATAAAAGCTCTGTTTGTTTATTTCTTGGTGAAGATTACCATTTAGAAAAAGACACAGCTGATTATTTTAGTATACTGGGTATGCATGTGCATCTTACAAAACCAGGATTTTCACTGACCACAAAAATATTCCATGCCTTTTTGTACTGAAGACATGATGGCAAACTGGTTGCATCTTCTTTCAGCTGGATCCAAAGTCTATTCAAATCAATGGAAAATCTCCCATTGCTTTCAATAATTTTAAATCAGGTGCCGAAACACTGAGGTTAGGTGAAACCTGCCTTGGTGCCTGGGAATTGTACAATAGAGGACGTAACAAATGCCAATATTTCTAATACAGATCTTTCTCAGCTAGCACCTCATTAACCTGTGCTGTCACACAGAAACTGTGATTGTCTACATCACCGGAATGACTGTCACAAAATTTGGATTCACATGTTTTAAGAAGTCAGCTACACAATAGGAGTTTGGATTTAAAAAAAAAAAGGAGGACAGAACATGCTAAGAAGGAGACTAAATTGCTTTGGGGATCTTGCAACACCAGCAGATCTCAGCAAGGACATTTGGAAACCCAAACAGAGCAAACGCACTGCGATTAATGTGTCCACACCTCAAATGATCTTTGTTCATCCGAGGTCTCCTGGCTTTGAAACACAGAGCACTGAAAGTAAATGTAGGTGCTTCTTTAAAAACAGTTCTGCAGAAAACGTGTGTCATATGGGCAGGATGCAAGTGTAGTAAAAAAAAAAGGCCATCCACCACAGGAAACTGCATTTGGGTTGTTTAAAATGGCAGCCCAACATTCCAGACGAAAATAAGTGCTTGACATTGTTTATAAATAGTGAAATATGTGTAAAAATACTGTTCGAATCCATTTGACATCTCTCTTCCAAAGGACTGTATTTTTGGCCGAGTCCGTATTTGCAGTCCTTTGCCTTAAGCTTGCATATGACTGCTCTGTTATTTAGAAAGTAGTGACCTTCCTTTACTAATATAAAGAATGGGCAATTTTAAATCTGAATGTACAAAACTACTGCCATTAAAGTATAATTTAATGCAGTGCTCAATGCAGGAGCAGTCCTTCTCCTGGAAAAGCCTTCTTCCAAAGAAACAGAAAAGAAACAGTCATAAACAACAAGCCTACGTCAGAACAAATGGTCAACTAACATGATTCTGGTACTAGCATAAAGCAGGTCTTCAGATTGCATGACTTAAATAAAAACAACAAACAAAATAAAACCAAAAAATAAATATGAAGGCACCACTCAAGAAACAGAAAGAGCACATGGTGAGGAATTTACAGCGAGGAGTGGCTGCTGAGAGAAGAATAAGCACGAGGAGATAAGAATAGTATTTTCTAAAACAAGGTCATTGCAGGAAAGGTTTCAGATTCCAGTCTATGTTTATAGCCTTTGGTGTCAAGCTGTCCAAGAACAGATCCAGAAAGACTGACTTTATGAAAGTAAATTTTCTCTGTCATCCTTTTTCTCACCCGAGGTGCTATCTGTCAAGGCCTATAAACTTCACAGTAGATAGATTATGTTAATAAGACATGAAATACCGTATATAGCTACAGGGAAAATAGGGTGCTTGTATCAAATACATCTTCCTGTTCACCCATGCAAGATCTGAGGGGCACCTTCTACGGATAAATGGGCTTGGAATGACATTAATTTAGAATTGTATTCCCAGTCATAAACGGACCATGCAGACAATGGACATGTAAGCAATCCAAACGTTGCCATGAATAACTATTTATAGTCACCCTTCCTTCTTCAAACTTCTCAATGCTAGATATCTAATGAATACAAAAGCAGCACGCTTAACTCTCATCATCTCAATTTTGCACTTGAGGTAACTCAAACAAGAGGTTTTAAAGTCAGTTTTTCACAGGCATCCGTAACTCTTTTTCCATAGCACTGCATGGGTATTGTGAGGGCTCGGTATCTCTCAAGACTTAAGGCAGGGAAAAACAATAGTTCACAAGCACTCACTAATTCTGAATGGTTAATTTTAGATTTTCAAAGAGTCCAACTTACTGCTGCTTTCTCTGAGATGCAGCTGCTCAACACCAGAAAGAGCAAATGTCCAGCATTTAGAGCGCTCAGAGATAGCCAGATGACTATCTTGATTTTAAAATTCACAGAGGCACCTAATCCTCAGTGAAAATCACAGCCAGCTGGAAAACTATCCCCATTTCTAGGTCCTTTGACAACCTTACTGGCACAAGTATTTTCCCCTGTAATAGATGTTTCTGTGTATCCATGTGTTTGCAAGATTTTATACTCTGTTTGCAATTACAAGGATTTTTGCTGGAAAGAAAATTAAGTTCGCCTTGACATAGTTCACATAAAACTGTGTCTTCCTACAGGTATTTGAAATTTCAAGGACTTTGAATGACTGGATACATACAGATATCACAGACAAAGAAGGGAAGCATTTGTACTTATATGTGAAATCTTCCCGTGTGTTATGTATGAACAAGTTTTACATGGATACATACCATAATTTCTTGATGTGGTGGAGTTTATAGACAAAAATACAGTTTTAGATGAGTAATTACAATCATAATCCCTTTCAATTCACTGCTAAATCTCCTCATTATAGGCTCTTCTGTTTGTAATGCTGCTGTATTTGGCTGGCCCTCCTCAACTGCTACAGCTGAG